CGAACATGTTAACAGTCACGCGACTGCCCTGTGGTCGCCCCCGGTCGCACGGCTACTCACGATTAATCAATACGTTGGGAGGAATGCCTCGAGGGTTTGACGGAATGGGCAGCTCCTGCCCACATTTAGATCGTCAAATTACCACTAAAGCTATGCCCACACCCTGACTTCTTGCAGGCTAGCCCTCATCGGAGTAGGCCATTTGGGTGTGGCCGTTAAGGCTGTCCCACTATAGCGGCCGAACACGTCGAGATTGGCATGCAAACACACACACGCGATAGTTCGACCGTCGATTTCGACGATGTCCACCGTATGCCCCACAGCAGCAGGCGGTGGAAGCAGGGACGGTGACTTGAGCAGGGGTTTATAGTACCCGTAGACTTGCGTTGCATTTACCACACTCTCTCCTCCTCCCCCGCCTGAGCCGAGTCAAGAAGGCCGGTGATTAGGGAGGCCGCAGGTGGATGGCTAGGACGAATCCGCACCTTGGCGCTCCACTCCGCACCCCCTGGTCCTCTCAACAAATGACCAGGATTTGGACTGCCAAAACCTTAAAGGGCCTGGCAGAGGTCCCATTGTGTGCGACGACTGCCGATAACAGGGTCTGCCAGCGCACCCCGTAGATGTTGGCTGTTGCAGAAATTACACTGCCAACAACGATTACTTCCCAGGGCCTCACACCGTAACTTAAAATACGTTATTTTGTGAAATTTACTTGCTGTTTATTGTTTAATTACTGCTCACATTTCCGTTGTCATAGAACAGCGTAGTATAAGACTTTCGGCACAAATCCAGGCCATTTCTGTGTTTTCTTTCATTTTGTCAGCTTACTGTCCAGCATGCTGCCCCACCGTTGCCTGCAAACATTGCGGACCGAACGACTTCGTTTTTTTCTGGTGGGCTTCTTTTATAAAAATATCCCTTGGAAGAGGCTTTGTGCTTATTGCATTAGACACTCCCCGTTTTCCTTCAGCAAGGCAACCCGCGCATATAGTCTGCCCAAGGGAAGCATTTTTTACTCGCAACATTAGATAAGGAACAAATTGAACTACCGCACTGATCAGTTCGCTTATCCCGCACCACGGTATTTACCAACCACTTTTTAGTATTCCACTCTCAGAGACTGTAAAAGAACGGGGATGAAGGAACGTCTTGCAGTGGAAAAGGTTGGGTTACGCATTGCTGCAGGAATCTCGAGTAACGCAAAACTGCAGACAAATGCGAGCGGGAAATTCGGCAGTTTCGATTGGAAGTAACTTAACATTACTCAGGAATTTCTCCATGGTCCTAAAGAACTGTTTCCTAAGAACATTGAATCGCATTAGCAAGGCAGTTTTTGAGGAAAGCATACCATTCATGTTTAGGCATTATTTTACCACAACCAAACGTATGGCACGATCCATAGTCTACTGACAGGTAAGTGGGGTCCTTCTCAATACCGTTTCCGTCTTCTTTTTTAAAATAGTATTCAACCTACATTCAGGAACAGTGGCCTAGAACTCCTGCTGCTCGTTTTAATTGTTTTGAATTTCTTACCTGTTCAATCCGTCTCTCTCTATCTCTGAACGCAGATTGACAGAATCCAAACGGCCCTGACCCGACTGCTCACTGCCATGACTTTCTCGGTACAGGAGAGTGTTCGTCACCTCAACGCCATTCGCCAGCACGTGCCCTGGTACCTATTGGCTCCCGCTGTGCCGACAGCCTCAAATACCGCCGGTGACACCAAGACGGATGAGGCTTTCATTGGTCAGTCAGCCAATCTGACCGTGCTGGGACAGATTCAAAGGGAGCTAGTAGACCACGTGGCTGTTGCGGGCTCTGCCATTCAGCGACTAAACGCTGTGAGTTCTCCCACTGTCTGGCACGCAGTGCACAGGTGAAGAGGTACTTCAAACAGAAGCAGAGACGCTAGGAGACTGGCTATGTCTGGCTTGCCTGCCCTCGTCAGTCCACCGAATCCGAGCCCCAGACCCCGGGGACGGGAGGCTCGAACTCAAGTCGAGGAAGCATTCTTCAGTCATATGTGGTTATGTAGCCCCACCTGAAGTAAAAAAACAAAACCCCAGCCACCTGTAATACGAAGCCGGCCAGGGAATGCACAGGCGACGAGGCCAAGTGGTTTTATGCAAAAGAAAAGCTACCAGGAATGCGCGGTTTAATATGAGTGGTTGAGAAATAGTTGCCCTATGCCTTACCCCTATCCCTAACCCTAGCCCAATTCCCAACAGTATTGTGTCCATCAGGTGGGGCTACATAACCTCATCCTACACATTCTTGATCCTTTTGAATTGCCGGCATTCAAAGGCGCTTGGAAGGGACCCATGCTTGACTATAAGTGGAAGTGCGTGGGACTTCCACCCAGTGCTGGACTATGAGACTGGGAAATTTTAAAGGCGAAGCGGTGCATCCATGTTACGTCTCATATTGAGCCCAGATCGCTGTTCGCAACCTATCTGAAAGTTTGACATTCACACGTGCCGACATCCACCGCCCGCCCCCACAGTGGCCGCACATTCTCCTGCTCTTTACCGGCGCTGCTCCAGTGGAAAGAACAACTTCAAGACCACCGCCGCTAATATCAACTCAGAGGCGCAGCGAATGGGGTCTGGCACCTGTGGAGTTAGGAACGAGCGCATTTACGGTAATAGCACACGTAAATTCAGCCTTGATTGTCGCTACACCCACGAACAATTACGACTGTCCAGGTTCTGTCTGTGATTCCAGGAATTTTAGATGTACAGTAGGTGGGTTAACACATAAAATGTCGACCGAAATTCCGGAATGCCTTTTTGTTTCGAAAAAACAAATTAAGTAGGGTTGCAAAACCACTCAGCTTGCAACATAATTCTATAATATTTCAGTTACGCCTGGATGCCGGTTTTGAATGAATTTCCTTCCGGCTGCATGCAAAAACAACACTCTGCAAAAAACGATTACTTATGTAGCAAGAATTTTTTTCATTGATTTTCGATGATCCTCAAAGTCCAATTATATTACATGGAAAACTTGCATAAAAATATTCATTATTTTGCTCATTCGGTAGACAATTACGTTTCCATCCAATATTATGCTCGAAAGAAGGGTATAATTCGGTTTTCAAACATTTTTCCAATTGCCGAATAATTTGTAATCCACTCTACCGTTACGCTTGGATTTAGGGTTTCCAAACTACCAGCCGTCTGTTTACCGCGAGCGGTAACCTGCACATTTCTATACGGTAGTAGAAGGGGACCATGTAAGGTTCATAAAATTTAGCAGTAGATTTGGTCCATATTGTTAAATTTACAAGCCACATTGGTAAATGCAGAGCCATGACGATGTATGAACGGCCATTTCATGGTATTTAAAAGTCCTGCAATTAGAAACTTTTTAAAACCGAATTATGTCGATCCTTCGAGTATTAAATTAGAAGAAGACGTAATTGTCTACCGAATTAGCAAAAGAATGAATAGTTTTATGCATGTTTTCCATGAAATATAATTGGACTTTTAGGGGCATCGAAAATCAATAAGAAAAATGCATGCAGTCATTTTTTTACAGGGTTTATTTTTGCTTGCAGCCGGAAGGAAGTTCATTTGAAAGTCGACATCTTGGTGTATTTGAATTATTATCGAATTATGTTGCAGGCTGACTAGTTTTACAACCATTTATAATTTATTTTTTTGAAATGAAAAGGCATTTCGGAATTTCCGTCGACATTACATGAGGTAGACCACCTAGTGTATAAGGAGAGAAAAAGCGCGATATATGCGTCACAGACTTGGTGGTCCTCGTTGCGGTCCTTGGAGCTTTCTTATCGTAGCACATCTACTTTTTAAAGATAACATGCTAGATTAGATTTTAGTTGACGAAGTTTTAAAAAAGACTGCCGTTCACGTTGACTTCACCTTCGCCACGGAGTATGAATAGCTCAGGCCGCCTTAACAGCCAGAACAGACCATTTCATTCTTAGTTGTCTCCGTTGGCAGATCGTCGATATGCAAACCCCCCGCGAGGTCTTTAGAATCTGAACTCAAAGGCCAACCGGGATCGCGCCTATTCCATGCTACAATCAAGATTGGATCGACGAATCCCGCTTTCTCCTGACTTCTACATAACAATAATACACCTAGGCAGAATTTTTCTTACCGACATTATCCTTTTTACGATGATGATGATAATGATGACGACGACGATGATGGTGATGATGCTGGTGGTGATGAAGACGACGACGATGATGATGATGACGATGATGATGACGACGACGACGACGACGATGATGATGATGATGATGATGATGATGGTGATGATGATGATGATGGTGATGATGATGGTGGTGGTGGTGGTGGTGGTGGTGGTGGTGGTGGTGGTGGTGGTGGTGGTGATGGTGATGGTGATGGTGATGATGGTGATGGTGGTGATGATGATGATGATGGTGGTGATGGTGGTGGTGGTGGTGATGATGACGACGACGACGACGATGATGATGATGATAATGATGATGACGACGACGACGACGATGATAATGACGGTGGCGGTGGCGGCGGCGGCGGCGGTGGTGTTAAAAATCTTTTAAAGACTATCGTTCCATGACAAGCATTGTACCATCACTTTTGTCTGTTAAGCGTAATCCCGTAGGTCAGGGCAGCTTGCCGCCACGATTCTTTATTATCTTGTTGTACGGAGAGGAATTGGCCAGACTCCATCTCCAACTTTGACAAATGGCTATAATTTAACAAGCAGCGAAAGTGGCAGCTCATGCCATGATCGAGTCTGCGCAATCAGTACCACTTAAATCCCTACTTAGTCTGCCGTATTCTATGAAAATTTTTAAGCCGCTCAAATATAGATTTTCTTGATTTTACGGTGATCTGAGACCCTCTGCCGACAGAATCCTGATCGTTTTCTTGGTGTTGTGCTCACCGATACACGGATGCGGGCCGCTCGTTTGTTTATTCAGCATTTTACCGGTATAACTGCCTGTTCCGACTCCCTAGTATTTTTGGCCCTCCTAGGTCATGGGTCGAGTCTTCCGAGAAGGCAAACCGGCCGAGTACTCTGTTAATTTGCGTGCGGCATACAAGCGCCTGTCCGATGAACTGAACACAGCCAAGACCGCGATGACTGAGGCCAAGGAATTGGCCTGGCAACAGATGCGTCAGATTGTCTCCGGAAACGGCGCAAACCTCATTGATGTGGACAAGTTCAGCAAGCACTGGGCTCTCTTCTCGCAGACCCTGGCCGCCTCACGGGATACGGCTTGGCGCAACGAGAGTCATCGTAGAGAGTGGTTGGAGGCCACTCAGTACCTCGATCGACTTCTGATGGACTTGCAGCAGTATACCACGGTGGGTGACTGGTTTATTTTCAAACTAATCTCATTCCCCATTCTGATCTTCCTCGGCCAGTCCCAGTTCGCCTCAGGTGCGTTTGAATACTCTTTCTTTGGAATTCATACAGGACTGTGAAATATGCAGAAGAATGCAAATCACTTAGGGAGTTTGCCGAGCCAAGCTGGCCAGCGATAGGACTTAACACACAAAGAGGACACGCTACCGTGTTTACTGTAACTTCAGATTAAGACTCATCCCAGTTAGTCTCTGATTACAAAACTATGTAAGGCGAAAATTTGTCTCTATAAATATCACCATCTGAAACTGATCGTAATCATTTTTGCCGTACCTATAACTCAAAAGCTGTCCAACTAGTTCATCGAGGCGTAGCGAAACATCTAGTCAGATAGGCGTAGGAGGACGTCCCTTGGGCGAGAATTAGAGGGTAGGAAAGGTTTTCTTACAAAAATCAAGAAAGTTACTCTTGCATTTTTAAGTTTATGTCAACACCTCGTCCGCGGAGGGCACTCCCCAGGGGGCGTTTGGTGAAGAGGGCGAGGGGTTGTAGAAAACCTTAACGTCCACGACCACCTATCCATCTCTCCCCAAATGGCCTACACTTTTCCATAATATCACCTCTAAACGACTGCTACTGCGGTCCTGCGACTATTTTAGATTCGGCAATTTGCCTCCTCGGCCGACTATTTGGATAAAAGGGCTTCCATTTTCGTCTCGTTGATACTCGTGGTGGTGGTGGTGGTGTGTGGTTGTTGTCGAAAATGAGAAAGGGGGACAGGATGATGGTACTGTAATTTTTTTTCCAGCATATTTAAACATTTATGTCTCAAAAATCCTTTTGGGGATTATAATTAAACTTCTCGAAACCGAATTTCTTCAGCGACTCTGCGGTCTTCTGCACGTTCCGATGGACCCACTGGTGATCCGAGTATTTCTGAAATCACAGTAACTCGTGGAAACACGTCTTCACGCCTTTCGCTAGTATTCCGTGTGACGTGATCTTTTACTTACACATTTGATTCCTGGCTGCTAAAATTAGCAATTCGGAACTCAGGGCCTGCATTTGCCTAAGAGATTAGCAGTCAATACCAATCTGTAAGAATCTGCAGCTAAACTTCTCACTCCAATTCCAAGGAGTGCTACAGAGGTCATTTAACAACTCTGGAGGGATTTATAGTGAACCTAAATAAATTGCTGAATTATGTTTATCCTTTTTACAGCGTCCTATCATGCCGCACACGCTTTACTTCAACTGCACACTACTTGGCATCCCACAAGCAAGAGCTCCCTCCAAAATCTAACGCCTCCACTGCCTTGAGACTTGGAAAAATCCCCGACATATAGGGACTATTGCCACGCACAAACTGACTGGCCAGCCAACGACAAGCCTCTTCATGCGCATTTGACGTTATCCACGTTTGTGTAAGGAATTGTGAAAAAAAGCTAGTGACATCGTAAATGCTTTTAGCGATACACCTAAAAGCCCCTCTTCGCACAGACCTATATCATTTCATTATTAGGTCGTAGGAGAAAAAGGGAATTGCACCCAATCAAAAAGTACCGGGGCATCATCGTACAGGCGAAACCCCCGCCCTAAATTTGCCGTAAGAACACTTTGCCAAGCGAGTCACCAGGGGAGTGTTTGTTTGCTCTGCTAACCCCGATGTAGGGCAGCAAACGCTCTGAAGCCCCTTTCAGCTGTTTTGTGAAACGCACTTTTTTGTTTTTTAGTTAGTACTTGTGTCGGGCATATGGTAAGGTATATTTGAGAAAGCTGGATATGAAAAAATCGGCCTTAGGCATTTGACGAGCGGGAGTTTTTTATTCCACTCAGACCGCTGGCGTGAAAATCCCGGGGTGAGTTAGAAAATATCTACCCTGCAGATTTTTCTTCAATCACCTTCTACAGCTCATAGCCGTTGCTTTTCAAGGCGAACCATTCATCAGCGTAGTCAGATAAGGATATTGAATGACGTTTCAGGTCCGCAGTAAATTTTCTTTCAAAGTTTTTCCACGCTGCTGGCCCCTTTTATACTTTTTCCAGTTACTTAATTAGTCATTCGAGCAACTGGAATCGGCGTGGTCACCACCAGCACTGTTCGGCTTTCTGGTTACACCAGAGCACCCCTCAGTTTTCGTTGTCATGTTCTCATGCACCGTCTTCTCGCTTTATCTTCCAGAAAGACACAACCACAGGTGTGCAGTACAGCCACATCTACGGCCTGATCGCAACGACCCTGGTCATATTTGTGAGCCTTCTGAGCCTTCTGATCTTCTTCGGTTGTTACCTCTGCGTTTGTGTACGCTCACGGGCCAGCCTGTTGGAGCCTACTGCTGCGGCGTCGGAAGCTGCTGCCGCTCCTCCTCTGCCCAGTCTCTCGGACCGCCTGATGAATCGATTCAAGTCCTCCCTGGGCGGCTTCCGCCCTGGGGGCAAAAACAGTCACTATCGGGCCTTCCACGTGAGTCCCGCACTGTTCCCGCCCAGCTACACTTTTTTGTTACCGGCGTTGCTGTGTTCCATCAAGCGTAGCGTTCTGCTTGACTGTCTCTGACGCCGCAAGGGTTGGCCCTGAAATTGGTGACTTTTTGTGTCGGTGAGTCGAAGCCTTGTGGCTTGGCGACCCCGCCGGGAGCTCAAATTAACGCCTATAACGTGTGGGGAGGGCATGTGGGAAGAGCCTACGACCGCCGTGGCAGCTAGAAGATCGATCCACTTGTTGTTTACTTATTTAGTGTGATTTATGGGTGTACTTTCTGTCAGAAGACCGTGTTGTAAAGTTTGAGCGATTTTCGGGAAATGCTGTCGGACCCATCCGGCTCGCCGGTCGCCATCTGCAGCCAACTGGATGAGTGAGCTTAGTGTGAACTTCCCAATTTTTCGCAAAATACAGTAGGTGGGCTTACTCATGAAATGTCAAACGAAATTCCGAAATGCGTTTTCGTTTCAAAAATATTAATTAAGTAGGGTTGTTAAACTGGTGAGCCTGCAACACAATTCTATAATAATTCTATTACCTCAGGATGCTGGCCTTCGAATGAACTTCTTTCAGGCTGCATGCATAAGCTAATCTCTATAGTAAATGACTACTCAATTTGCATGCTTTTATCTCATTTATTTCTATGCCATTAAAAATTCGATTATATTTCATGGAAAGCCTGCATAAGTATATTTATTCTTTTGCTTATTCGGTAGAAAATTACGTCTTGTCTAGTTTTATGCTCGGAGGGACATAATTTTATTCTAAAAAGTTTCTGATTATGAGAATTTTTGATACCATGAAATGACCGTTCATAAAACGTCATGTCTCTGCATCTACTAGTTTTGCTTGCAAAGTCAACATTAAGGTTCAAATCGGCTGCTAAATTTTATGAACACCATATGGTTTTTTCTTAATTCTGTAGAGGAATGTATTATTCTCCGTACGCGGAAAAAACGGCTTTTAGTTTGGAAACCCTGAATGCAAGGGCAACGGCAGGTCGGGTTCGAAATTATTCGGGAATCGGAGAAGTTTTTAACAACTGAATTATACCCTTCCTTTGAGTATAAAATTGAAAGAAGACGTCATTTTCTAGCGAATGAGCTAAAGAATGAATGTCCTAATGCATGTTCTCCATGAAATATAATTGGACTTTTAGGGCATCGAAAATAAACGAGAAAAATGCATGCAAATTAAGTAGTCATTTATTACAGAATGTTGTTTCTGCCTGAAAGAAGTTCGTTCGAAAGCCAGAAACCTAAAGTAACTGAATTATTATAGAATTATTCTGCGAGATGATTTATCTTATAACTCTGTTTAATTAATCTTTTCGAAACGAAAACGCATTTCGGAATTTCGGCATTTCATGAGTTAGCCCACCTACTGTAAATGCACCCGTTAGAAGATACCATCCACCCTATCGTAACTTACCTACAATTCACTAATTTGCACTTTTTTAACAGTTCCACTCCTTCCCTGATGCGCACACAGTTGCTACGAGACGCTTTCAAAGGTTGCAATGGTTTTCCTTCATTTAGGAGCGGGTTACCTTTGTCAGACCTGGTTTTTCAACGGTAGTGTGGTGGTTGACTTCCGCCTCAAAACCCGGGCTTTTTTTCCCTGACGCTAGCAGTCGCCTAGCGACGGACAGTCAATAAGCACTAACAAAGGGCAAGTGCGGCCGACGGGGCGACAATTTCTGGCCCAAACGCGTGACTCCAGTGGTAATAAAATTTAACGGGGCGAGGTATTTTGAGACGCTAGTCCTGCCTTGCTCACTCTGTACGAAGCAAATGGCGTTGCGCTGCAGTCACAGTCGCAACCCACGAGGGTCTCGCGCCTCCTTGATAAATTTGCTCACCTCACTTCAAAGAGCTCAAGACAAGTCTGTGGCCTACTAACAATCAGCAATGACCGTGAAACGACCGTCTGCATCAGGCGTGTCAGGAGCTCGGAGGACATTGTACGTTTTATCCGGGGTATGCGCCCTGCGGGACAATTTTGGTTATCGCTAGCAGCCCAGGCGGTTGGCGGACAGAATAGGGTCAAGTAAGATTCCAACAACAACAAGTGTGGACCACGCGCCTACATAACAAGCATGCCAGTGCAATCGTCTCACCAGAATCCAGCACGGATGACGAAATCACGGCAATTAACTACTTGGACTCGGACTGACAAGCCACCACCGCATCAATTACGACCCCAGCGGTGATTGTGAGGGCTGTTAATTACAGTGCGTCTACGGTCCCACGGCTGCCACGTGCTATAAATACTGCACTCCTTGAGTCGGCATCACCTTTATCTGCGAATGTCTCTGATGATGGATTCGAGTGAGAATCCGAAACGTCAGGCCAATAAATTTCGTGTTCCAGTGATCGCATCTTCGTCTTCTAAGCATGCAATTGTTAATATACCCGATCAAAACCGACTAGACAACGAACCCGTAGCTTAGGGGTTAGGGTATTGGTCTCCTAACCAACAGGTCGCCGGATCAAGCCACTGACGTTGCAAAACCTACGGTTAGGTATGACTGGCTGATGGCGGCTAAAAGGCCGGAGATGGCAATTCCAGCCTCCATTACCTTTGTTGGCAGTTTTTCTGCCTACGCATACGGGTGTGTAGAGGAGTGGAGTACCGACGACGACATTGCTGACTTGAATGGTCATTTTTGGCTTTTTTGTTGTCATCAGCTGGTCTTACCCAAACCCTATGTGAGAGACCTTCGCCTCAAACCTGTGTTCGTTATTCAACGAGCGTTTCATATATACATATAATGGTAGGGGGCGCTCACCGATCGTTCATACGGAACTCACTCGTCCCTTTGTGCCTCTCGGGCTCTCTCGAGCCCAACCAGCAGCCGCACAGCGGCGCATGATATATAGGCAGAATGGCATTACAGACAAAGACAAGGAAAACTGGAATGGCCATTTCTGGCTTATTAGCCAGATGATTAATTGATGCATGCATCAACCCGCATATCGATTTAGATGCCACATACAAAATCGTTAAGGACAGATTCAAACTGAGTCAGACAATCCCGAGATGACAACCTTAACCAATCATGGACTCCTTTTGCTAGACTCAGTCTAAAAGTTAATTTTTTTTGCACACCCGTTGTCTGAAGACGAGCTGGGGAACCAGTCTCGAAAATTCACAATAAAATTTTGCTGTTTCTCAAAGAACTTCACCTTTCTAATTATATTTCTTGGGATGCCTGTTTTTTCAATATATATATATATATATATATATATATATATATATATATATATATCGATATGCGTATATATATATATATATATGTTGAATAACTGACGTGGTATGCATTCAACCTTTGAGTGAGGAAGTTGACCTGGCCCACAAATGCAGATTGCATGAGAAGCGTCTTCTGGCCTTCGAGGTGCGCCACTAGCGATAGGCTAGTATACAGTTACGTTATGTAGGTTTGTGGAGTGTCCGTCGACGGTACCACGTACTAATTCCTTTCATGGCGCATATGCATGTTCATGTTGTCATTTATAACGGAGAAGATCAGGAGACTGACCTTTAGATACTGTTCCTGTTAGTTGCATGCCAGTTTGCCTCCCTCTTCCGCCAGTCCTTACTTTTCAATTTTTTCGTCCATTCTCCGCTTTCTAAGTGTCTGTATTGTCACAGCGCATTTGGTTTTCGCTTATTTCCTACACTCTCCAATCACGCCACTTTCACCCACTGGTGCCCCTGATCCTATTTGCTGTTCCGCCCTTAAAATGTGATTCCCCCTTAAGACGAGCAGCATTCAGGGGTCACCAGTTGAGATTTTTTAACAGCACTGGACTGTAACACGTTCGCTTATCTAGATATCAATAGTTCACTTAACTTCGACTCCCGTTTTCTGCCACACCGAACTATCATTTTTTCGTATCGGTTAGCACTTGCCCGTCACAGTGAAGAGCTCGGCGTCGTATCAGCCCATTCGGGAGGACATCCTGCACACAGTCAGTTCCTCGCCACCACCACCGCCACCGCCGCCGCCGCTCACTCCGTTCTCGCAGAATCGGTTTGGCAATGGATTGACTACCGCTGCCTATGCCGACTTCTCATCACCGACAAGTGAGTTTTCATGCTTCCATCCCACCTCCTTTTATGGTGGTTAGGCTGGCTCCCACGCATCCTGACTCAGTCCGACCACACACACCGGCACGCAACATCCGATCGGTCCCTCTTGCGTCTCGTCTGTTTGTGTGTTCATGACGTACTACTAAAAGTCGTGGCGTAGAAGGTTGCTGACTGGCGGAATAACTCGATTCGTCTCAGCGCTGAGAGGGGTAGGACGCGGTGCATCCATCTCAATGTCGCTTTTATGGAGCTCTCTCCCGTGGGCGCAGACGAGCCCTCACAACCGTGACGTGCATATTCAGGGTGTCAGGGTAGTGTGTGGCACGCGTAGACGGGTTATTTCACTTTGTCGGTCGTTGAGGTTGATCCTGCCTCCGGTCTTTCTGATATTACCTTTCCGTTGGAGCCGGTCGGGTGAATTAGGGGACACTGCGGTGGATTCTGCATATGTCTGTCGTCATTATAAGCTAACTCTCACGCAAGTTGCCGTCTCGGGTCTACTCCACCGCACACAATGGGCCATCTTTCTTCACGACGACTGAGTCGTCGTGTGTGTGTCGGACAATCTCCACTGATGCATGCTAGAGAAAGGGGTCATAAAGTCGATAAGGCAGTGCAGTTAATCATGACACCTTCCTACTGTGCAGGCTAACAACTGAGGGCACGGGAAAGCAGTTCCGGGGTTCATCTGGTAACATGGTGTCTGCGGTTGTCTTGCTGGATTTCAGCTCGCTTGTCGGGACATTTCAAAAAAGTCGACTTTCGGCCAATCCGTAGTTGCTGTGATGTTCCATGCCCCTACTGCGTCTTGAATCTCAGCACGTTTAGTGAGGCGTCCGTTCTGGGAATGCGCGACCAAATCTGTTAGTCGCCACTAGCTCCCATTGCGTCCACAAGTGGCGAATAGGTGTCGCCTCTCTGGTTTTTAGCATAATTTAGATGAGAGTTAGTGAAGTTCAGAAACTTACGGGAATTGGCATGGCTAAGTTGAAGGGCAGAATATCGACGTAAATTGGTTGACCTTCCTTATCTTGATTGATAGACTGACTCTACATCCTTTTCATGTTTCTACACTAATGTGTCTCACCTAAACAAACAGCTGTCCTCCCCTTGCTTTAGATTAGTCTTTTTGATTAAATCGCTAAATTCGTCTAAGCAGAGTCCACTTGCGAAAATGAGAGTCTGACCATCGTTGCCGACGATGTCCATCGTGTTCCGCCCCTCAGCAGGATCGGCGCTGGGACGGTGACTTACGGGTAAATTACCTTATGGTTACAATAAGCTTGCGCTGCATCTACCGCACCCTCCTCTCGCAAACCTGGCGAGAAGGCGGAGGTGACTGGCGCGACGTAAACCCGCATCTAGGCGTGCCACAACACCATCAATTCTGCACAAAATCGGTTAGGATTCCATACAACAAGAAAGGACGACGGCTCGGACCTCGGCTGAGTAGGAGTACCTCAGACGCCACATTTAGGAACCGATGCAGTCTGAATTTCGCTTCACCAGTCAGCCATTTCACACAGACACACACTGCGCTGACAGCACCGTCCTAGTTAAACCGTCAGTTGTCACATGTTTTGATTATATCAAACACGTCAAATTGCTTATAGTACGGAAAATTCCCTGACAGTCGGCCTGACTCTCCTTTCTCTTTCGCGTGCAACAGTTAACTGTCCGAGCCGGTCAACCAACTCTTTATGAGATTTGGTGAGATGGTTGACAGAGCTAACAGTGATCACTCTACGCGTGCCACACACATGACCTGCCCCTACCGCTGGCTTGTGCTGATGCGTGCACAGCTCATTCGTTTATTATTCTAGTTCTATGGCGGATGATATCTTTCTTAAACCTGATTTGTGAATGATAAGTGTCTCGAGAGAGGTTAACTCATGGTCTCGCGTTTTGCTTTGCATGAGCTTCCTCAATATTATATTCCACAGTGATTCACCGTAAGAACCTTTCTCAAGTATAACTGCGTAATTGAAACCCAATCGTTAAATTTTTGCCACTACTCACTGCAACCTGCACAAGGCATTAGTGTACCCGGGCAAGAAACTGCGGAAAAATCCTGATTTAAGTGCCGTTTTGATGGGAGCCGTTGTTGTTGAATGTGCAAATTAATATAGCCATCGGCGTCTGTTTGACGACTCGAGCGGCAAAACACTGAAAGGAATTCGATGGGTCGACTTTTAAACTACACCCCGTTGCGAAACGTTTCTGCTTGCGCAAATGCGCACTGGATGCTTGGTGCCTAATGGATTTGCAGGTTGTTAGAAGTTCTATCTACACTAGAAATGTACCAGCTCGTGAAGCTTCGACCGAAATTTTGAAATGCTTATTTAATTTGAAAAATATTACTTAAGTCGGGTTTTCGGATCAGTTATTTTGTCGCATTTCCGGAGAAACCCGAACTATGTAAACAGTTAGACCACGTAGTCAACCTCAGCTGGCCTGAGCCTTTTTGATTTCCGAAATCCGCCGGCGTGTTTACTTCTCCATTTTTATTCCTATGTTGCGTTTTGAAGTTGCCACTTTATTGATTAGTCTACGTGCAGTATACGATGACCTTGCTGTTCTACATTGATTTTCTCTGTCGAAGTTCAAACCTCTGTATCTTACTCACTTGTTATCTGTGTTATGCAACGACAGGTTGCAGCTGATAAGCCGTCGCAGAAGTTAATGGTATCAATAAATTCTGCTGTCCATGCCTGCTTTAAATTCATTGCGGGGAAATATTGCTTCAACATAACCGGATGCTTCGTGTCTAATGGATTTACAGATTGAAACAAGTTCTATCTACACCAGAAATGTGCCATCTCGTGAAGCTTCGACCGAAATTTTGAAATGCTATCAATTATTTTGTCGCATTGTGTTAAGATGTTCCTGTCACGTGAGCGTCCCGCCTATCCCCAGAGCTCCTTATCGAAACTATGTTCCGCAAGTAACTACTACTTAGAAGGCGTGGATTTTCCCGTTGATTTTTGTTGCCCTTATAAATTCAAATATACATATACAATTATGCGGAAAAATATTCCTTCCTTTGCCCATTTGGTAGAAAATTACGTCTTCTTATAATTTTGTACTTGAAAAAGTGCATCTTCCTGTTTGAAAGAAGTTTCTACCTAGGAGATTTTTCAAGACTGAAATGTCCAATCACCAGCATCGCATTTATTAATGCCGATTATAAAGTGGATGGCGTGGTTCACATCCGTCACAAGATTTTATTAGCCCTATTTGTCACCTTTATAATATATGACTTTCCTTGCACGAAAAGCATACATGTCGCTGTTCAGAAATCGCAAATACAAGTGTAACGGTCTTTTAGGTTCAAAATCATTCCGAAGTTTAGAAGGTTTTTTAAATTCGAACGACACCCTTTCTTTAAGCATAAAGTCTGGAGCGGAGGTAATTTTCTATCAAGTGATAAAATAAAGAACATCTCTCCATATGTTTTTTATAAAGTATATTTGAATTTATAAGGATATCAGAATTCAGTGGGAATAATCCATGCTGCCCATATAGGCATTACTTACGGAGCATAGTTTACGTAAGTAGTTAATAGGGAGCTCTTACAAAAGCCGGCATCCTGATGTGACTGGAATATCTTAAAATAATGCGACGAAACATTTAATCTGAAAACTATACTTTGGTATCAAAAACATATTTCGAAATTCCAGTCGACACTGCATGAGATAGTTTATCTATTGTATATATGCTGTTCTGATAGCTCTGTATTAAAATTTTGCGGAACAGCATTCTGTCCATTTGCGGCAATTATTATGCTCATAATTGTAAACTTAACTTGTTATCGTTCGTTCAGAGGAAGGACTTCACCCGCACTAGGTGAATCAAGTTGATGAATCTCTACAGCGACCCCTCCAGGAGATGCGTCAGACCAACAAGGAGACCCGATTAGTGTACAACGTCAACTTGTTTGCGCAGGTCTGCCTACCTCTTAATAAGTGCACGCCCAGGCGCATGTCCATGCCGCGCCTGTCATTTGTGCTAGACGACTGACTGACTCGGTTAATGGACATCACGAGCACCAACCTCCGTTGCCCCTCAGAGTGGACGCATCATCGGTGACTTGCACGTGAATTAGTTTCTGATGGGGCAGGCGTTCAGGATATTATTTCAGGCGGCCTCCGTGCCGATAGCTGGTCTCTATTTGCCACGCTGGCAATGTATCGAGGAAAGGATCCAAAGTACCTCATCGGAGCAACTAATGTTAGATTTTACGGAGAAGAAAGTGAGTACTTGGCCAAATTTGCTGATGTTCGACAGGCCGGCTTTCTCACTCCAATCTCTTCTGTCAATGCAAGGGATTCGGTACTGTTAACAGTGCTCCACGCCTGCTAGGAAGTTCAGGCGAGCCCCTTTCATCCCCAACGGTGATTACGCCGCCGACGAAGCTTTGCCGTTAAAGGCCTCTTCTTGAAGCGCAGTTGCCCTTTGATATCTGTTGTCGCTACCAAAATAGAGACAAAGTACAACTCTGGAAAAGCCATAGAGCTGTTTGCCGCCTGCCCAACACATGAAAGTATCCCAACGTGTCTGCTTAACTTTCGAGCGAATATTACCTGTCGTGTGAACTTGAAGAGCTTCTGGTAAATGTGACCTGTATGCGTTGTTTGCCCGAGGAAGGCTGAGGCCTCTTGCTGTTAGTTCCTGCCGAGGATACTATGATTTCAGATCAGGGAACAAGTACCAAACGCAAAACCCCGCCACTGGGCCAAGCGGTGCAATTTCACGTCGATGTTGTCTGCAACGGTTGTCGGTCTTTACCTCCCAAGCGTAGGATGGGAGAATGTGTGAAGAATACACTTAAATTCGCCGCGGGGAAAGCTCAAGTGGTCGCTGTCTTTAGACGTAGTCTTCATACTTGCTTCCCCTGGAAGATAGTCTTATAAACAAGCATTTCTTTTCTACAGCTGCCGTGGTAGGCTTTGCAGTGCTCTCCCCAATATTCCGGATGGTAACTACCTCTGGGTATCCGTTTTCACGGAGAATGTTTTGCAGCTACTGCAATTATGCGTCAACAGTCTCTGGAGAGCAGATACGCCGTACTCGAGCTGCCAATCCCTCGGCCAAACTGTGAAAATTAATGTGGTGTCCTTTCCAGGTTTTCTTTCGGAATACCCTTTGCTGGATAGATCTATCCAGTCGTCTATGCAGAAAGACATCGCAGAAGACGATTTCGTTGTCTGCCTCGAAATTTGCTGAGACCTTTAATGAGGGGTGCTCACCGTTACATTGTTGGACCAGGGCGTCAATGTCGGTGGTAAGATCTCTCAGGCAGAAAATATTGTCCATGCACCGTTCGTAGAAGTCGAAACCATTCGTAGTATCTTCTAACCTCGTCTGCTCAACTTTTCCCACGAAAAAATTTGCATGGAACGGACCAAGCGATGAGCTCATCGCCACGCCGTCTATTTGCCCGTAGTAGTTGGCTTTTGCAGATAAACTGGATAGTTTCGTTAGCGTTTTCACAGGCATGCCTATCGGGTAATTCGTATCATGTATAAATTCAGAAAGGTAGGTTATTGTTCATGCTAGGGGTACATCAGTAAACAATGATGATGCATCTAGCAAAAGCATCCTCCGCTCCACAATCTTTATATTCTAGACGGCCTCTTAAAACTCGAAGGAGTCCTTTCAACAGGCGTTCGCCAACGTTTCTTTCCAGGTGTAACATGGGAATAGTCGCAGCAATCAAGTAATTATTGCACCACGTGTAACTACCTGCGATGAATGCCGGGCTTCCAACCTTGATAGACACACCGTGGCATAGACGTTGCCTCCTATGAGTACTGCGACACCTATGCGAAAACTGTCCCCATCTGATCCTGTATCTGGTGGTTGAATCGAATGCAAATCGGAACCTTCAGGCGAATAAAGCTCTTATTCTTGCAACCTTGTCGTCTATTTCCCGAATTAGGTAACATTCAACCTGTGTCTGGCGGTTCGTAGTATTTGCGGAGGAGACGCCAAGGAGACATTATGAAGGGGCCATTTGCGAGAGAGAGAGACTGTTTACTACCGCCATGTCTTTTACCGCGGCATGATGGGCTCAGGTACGCCAGACTTATTATAATGAAGAATGCGCTGATTGGATATGGAAATAAGCATATAATGACACAGAGGCCGCCCCCTTTACACACTGCAACACCTAGGCCAAAAATTGCTCTCCTCTGATGGTGAAAACGAGTATGAATCTGAACCGTAAGGCGAATAAAGCTCTTGTTCCTCTGACAGTGTGACCTGCTTCGCGAAATAGATCATATTACCTCATTTTGACCCGACGCTGAAAAACTCGGTGACTTTGGTGGGATTCGAACCCACGACTGTCTAGACATCACGCCACGCGCGCGCGACCAAGGTCGTGTACTCCCTTTTACGCGACCTTCGTGCTGATTAGCCACCCTTCAGCCTATGACGTTCTCCCCCCCCGTCACATACCCAACCGTGTCTACATGACTTCCCGCTTGTACTGTCTCCCGTTCTCAGTACTCGTTCTGTCTACAACCCGCCTTGTGTTTTGCATACATATTATCGACGGCGCAGCTTAATAAGCATGGCTTTTTGCAATGATTTACCGTACTAACAACACAGGTATTAGCTAAAAGCCCAGACACGCGTGTTTCGCCGATCTTATGCCGCTGCCTGACGCAGCTGCGAGGGGTTCGGCTCGTCAGTGGGTCCCCCAGTTTTCCTCGTGTGTGTTCTGGTATATTAACTCAAGTTTCAACCTGCCTTGTTTTATTTCCCAGGAAAATAATGCGCGAATTCGGAGTAACTCCAAGTAACTTGGAGTTACTTCAAGTTCACGCATTAGTTTCCTCGGAAATTAAACAAGGCAAGCATAGTTTCATTGCTGCCTACACCTTACCTTTCGGGTTTAAAAGCTCTCCGAAATCCTCAAATGACCCGTGGTTGCAATGGAGAAAGACATTTGAGGGTTACATTAAACTACTTCCGATTTTGTCACCAATGATTGCTCTAGAAGTTCCCTTTAAGTTGAATCTTCTCCGGAAAAATTTTGCAGACTTGGGACAGCGGTATTTCGGCGCCCTTAATTTACGAGAGACTACTGATCTCCAAACAGAATTTACGAAGCTCGAGTCAGCGTGGGGAGGAAAAGACAACGTCTCCCTGAGTCGCTATCGGTTTTGTCAGACGTGTCAGGAATCCAGTCAATTTTATTACGAATTTGACCCTCACCGTCCAGGCCTGTGGGCATAAAGAAATCAAGGCAGGCATCGTCAAACAAGCAATGCTCGCTCAGAAGTTGACCGTTGGTTAATGCGCTGTACAAGTTCAGAAGAATCTCTTATCAGAGAAGAGGGATTTGTCATGGGAGAAGGCCTGTAATGTTGTCAGTCCTCAAGGGCGCGTACGGCGAAACCTTCAGCAGCTGAATCAGTTAAACGCTTGAGGGGTATCATCCTTGGAACCCGTAGTGGCTGTCTCCCTGGTCAACACTGCCGCGTCTTCACGTAGACAGCAACCATCAGCTCCCCCAAAACAACTGCTATCCTGCCACCTTTGTGGTCAGACTGTATACACTAGAAGACAGTGTGCCGATTTTTAGAAAAAATTAGCCACATCGAACAAGTTTGTTTCTCCAAAAGACGGACGAACGCTAACCTGCACGCCATCTATTCTAATCCAGGTGGGGATGGCGATGCGATACCCTAACTATTTCCAGCCAACGCGCCGCCCCAATCGCCCTACACCATCACATTTCCGGTTTATCGCCATCCTGTGAAGTTTGAAATTGACACTGGATCAGCTGTTACTGTCATCAATGAGGCCTCTCTTCGGAAATAACCCCACCTCCTTCCGCATAGCTCAAATTTACGTATTTACACTGGACAGAACATAGAGGTTCAAGGGGCCTTTGCGGTCGAAGTTGAGCGTGATGGAGAACTTCATTACTGCCGGTTCATGTTGTAAGAGGAAGCCAGCATCTAAATCTCCTCGGACTTGAGTGGATTAAATGTGTGCCTTCTGTGCTACCCAATGTACATCGGATTTGTGTAAACCCGGCCTTAGATTCCAATTTGGTAAATCATAAACAGGTGTTTCGTGACGACTCTTCTACCCACCACTGCGGTTTGCCTGTTGAATTCCAAGTTCAATCAGGCTTCCGTCCCCGGTTCTTCAAAGCTCGCTCAGTTCCCTAGGCAGTCCCACCTAAGGTCGAGGAATAACTGGATCGCTTACAGAAAGCGGAAATTATCGAATGGGCATCCTCAATAGTCCCAGTTATTAAATCCGATGGGTCTGTGGCCCTGACTGTCTAAGCATCACGCCATACTCGCGCGACCAAGGTCATGTACCCCCGTGCAGACGACCTTCTTGCCGATTATCCACCCTTCAGCCTATGACACTCCCCCCCGCTTGTGCTGTCTCCTCCTGTCTACAACTAGCCTTCTGTTTTGCATACATCAAAGCCAGCGCCCTAGCCACCTGAACTACGAGGCCTCACCGGGAGCTGTGGTCTGTCAGTCTTTAATGTTAGAAGGGGGACCTTGGAGCAAGCGCATGTTTGTCTATCAAGTGCTCTGTCCTTGGCTGGGGCGGGTGGATTGTTTGTGATGGCTTGACACCCGTCTATGCTGGTAACGACCATTAGTATCTGTTGTCTTCTCCACTGACACAAGTACCAATCGCCACATGTTCACTCACCCCACTCAGACGGAATTATCGATCCGTGAGTGCCTCGCGGCAAAACCTGTGTGACTCTTAAAGGCTCTCGTCAGCTTGGCCCGGATGAGGTCTGGGGCATCATAGTGAAACACGAGCGTCCGTAAAGTGTGATGTGTGCGGTCAGACAGCTTCACGACAAGACGGAATAATCTTGGAATTATTCGCTATGCCAATTGGAGGAGGCAGGGTGGCCTTCTTGCCCTATCGACGGTTACCCGGAATAAGCGTCAAGTCTAACGAAATGGATCTAAAAGGCATTCGACATGTATCATCCGTCATCCAGCTAGGAGTATACGGCACCCTCAGTCGTCCTTCATGACTTTCGACTCGCTGCCGTTGAAGCCACCTCGGAAGTTCCAACTCTAGCAAACATGCGGATCGACGACAGATTCGCGACCCAACTACCCAGAGCTCAGGCTCAGACCGCAAACTGCCACCAATTAACCACATCGACCCGTCCATCATTGTGGTTTTTTACTATTTCAGTGTGAACTCCAGTGTAGGGAGTTTTCGGTGTAGCCGCCGGGCAAAACCTGTGACCGCGCACACTGTGACCAGGTGTCAGTCTCCTTGCTCTGTCGCTGGTGGTCTCGACTTTAGCCTGGAACCTGCCCTACCATCGTACAACCAAAAAACTTTACTCACCACCGAAGGCCCTGATTTGGTAGATTTAATTTTCATCGGTTGGGGGGGGGGCAGGAGGACCAAACAATGAAGCAACGGTTTTGTGTGCGTTCCGGCCATTCTAAGCTGCGCAGTCGAATAGAAACGTCAGACGAACACCAAATTTATGCCCCAGTGAGCTCTGCTACCCCTTTGAGGATTTATACATGTATATAAATATTTTTGGCAACTTTCTACGCCTGGCTTGTTTAATGTTCGCGGTATGCGGGGCTTTTCACCTTTTGGGTCAGAAATGCTTTTTTTCTACTGCAATTTACTTTTCCGAAGGCCGCCGGGGCAGTTGAAAGACCTGATTATGGGTTAGCAAATTGCGTGTTGCTAAACAAACGCCGCCCAGTTGATTGTCCGTGCAACCAAATGGACACAGCGTAACTCATTTGACAGCGTGAGAGCGTAGACAAAAACAGTTAAAGTGAGTTCCAAATGTGGCGCCACATCAGCACGTGGACTGTAGAACTTCTATAAAAGCAGGAGCGCTATTTTCTGCCTTTTCCCACCTGATATCCAGCTGTTATTTTGATGACAATTAGAGACATTTATTTTTGATCTTGAGTTCTCCGTTGCTCTCTTCTAGTCGACCAGTACACTCGGAATCTAGTCATCCGAGGTTACGAGAATCCCACCTACCGACTGACGGATGAATAACCCTCTCGGAGCTGCCGCGGAAACCAGCACAGCAGTCACCGTGGATCCATTGTTTCCGATTGGATGCCAGTCATAAGCGCTTTTCTCATCTATCCCCCCTCTCTGTGTCGCATGTTGGCTGTGATAGTTATTACTACCCTGCATCCTTTCCACCCTTGCTTATGTTTTGAGTGCTCGGGGACCCCCACCTCGCAATTATGCATATGTATGTTTATCTCTTAGCCCACATTCCGTGTGTGTAGTGTTCATGCCACACCTCGTCCTCGGGTCGTGTACCATGTTATACTCCGAATTTTCCTCATTCCCATGTCATTTTATTGTTCAGGTTCTGGCCTGTTTAAAGATTAAAATTATCGCTTTAGTTGACTTTGTTTGTGCTGGGCGTTTTTTGAGCAGGACTCATTGGTGGGACTGACTATGTGGCGCCCTAAACAGGACATGAGAACAGGAACCGCAGTGAATTTAGGGCTAGGTTTAAAGTCAGGATTAGAGTTAGGTTAAGAGCTAAATTTATGGCCACATTTAAAGTCAACGGTAAGGTAAGCCAGGATCACGTTTAGGGTTAAGGTAGGGGGCTAGTGCTACCTACAGAGTTAAGGGTTAGGCTCGAGATTAGGGCAATGGCTTAGTTTTATCTTAGGGTTAGGGTTGGGGCACGGGAATATTTTGCTCCTTCCGGAATTATACGTACGTCCCCTTTTAGTACTTGGGTGGTTGCTTCCCTACTCCCGTGTTCTGTTTAGGGGGGCCACATAAACCAATCCCGCCGAAAGGTGTAATTAATGGCTTGTTGACACAATGCCATGTGTTGCACGTTTACTGGTTCACTCTCCCATACTCTTCCGACGGTCGCTGGGGCTCTGAGAAAGTAGTGTGTTTCGAATATTCTGAAGGAATTGACCCACGATTTTAAATTTTAAAAAAATTATATCGCTTCTAGTAAAACGTGTCCACTTTTTATTTTTCAGTTAATATCTTAACATCCATAACTCATCAACTCCACGAATTACACACGCGAATTCTAACTAAGGATATTTATCTCTCGCGTGCGATGCATCAAGTAGCATCTATTTCAGAAGAAATATAACCCATCTAGACCTGATAGGGGGTCGTTTCGAACTATGAACTTCATCAAAATTCTGACCTTACTTGGGCAAGCAGTTCAAGGCGTTCTGCTTCCTAGTGCATGATTTCCAACACAGCACTGACTTAAATGATAGCGGCATTAGAGTTGCTGCAAGGATGCATTTGCTGGAATGCTGGAGTTGGTAGCGTTTTATCGCAGTTTGTGACTACTTTTACGCTACCATTCATTTTCGGTTATGCTGCAATTTGCCTCAAATAAATTCAAGATGTTCGCAACTTTATACTGACTATAAGTATGCACATTTTGCAGGGTTAACTTGCATGGCATCCTAGAGAGGACATGAGCACAGCAACCGCCTGCAATACGGGTGGATATGACTCGACTTCCAGTGAATTTAAGGCTAGATCAGGATCAAGTTAAACATTAAGATCGGGTCAGCGTTTGGGTTTAGGGTAGGCTTGGGGTTATTGTTGGGGTTAGGATACGGAAATGTTTTGGCCTTTCTGGGATTATGTGCCGGTCCACCTTTATTACTATGGCGATGCGTAGCTATGCCTGTGCCCTATTTATGGGGCCATATGAGCCAGTGTAGCGGCCGAGGACGTCAAGGGTAGCACACACCGGAGTAAGGGAACGCCGAGAAGAGATCCTGACGGAGGTAGACCTGAACAGAACTGTTAACATCTCTCGAAAGTCGTTCACACGCAGAAGAAGAGAGTACGTCGAGTATGGATATAGTGTAATGGAGCAACTGATACGAAGAATGTATATAACAAATGTTAATGTACACGAGCAATGAGGAACAGCAAATAGGTGACCTGTCTGGATGGATAGACGACCCTGCAATACTAGCTAAACAGCCGGTGGGAATGCAGCGCTGTGGGCAACTGCAGGGAAGGACCGGGGGAAGCCGACGTTGAGTGAAAGAGTGAGAGAGAATCGAGAGCGACGGTTCGTTGCGGGAGGGCGGGTCGGCGGTAGCGAGAGGAAGGGACACCGGCCGTCTTCGCCAGCAAGCAGTTATGCCATCTCCATCCCAGGTCCGCGCGCCAAAAGTGTCACATCATTCAAACAACTCTGTCCAAGTCCAGGGGCGTTACACCAGTCCCACCGACTTGTCCGTCATGCAAGACCACCCACCCTGCTGTGAGTTGCCACATGGAAGAGAGTACCTCTGGCATGTCAATGCGGCTACCATGGGAACACCTGAAAATCACTGCTTAACAAGGCGCGGGACTAAGTGAGGTGAAGACACTTTCTACCCGGCCTCTCGACTGCACCCTGTTGTCGCTCAAAAGTAATTTGATGCGGTCTTCACAATCAACACTGCAGTTAACCATGGACGCGGGCGAGAACGTACGATTAATTCGGTTGGAAGGATTGGTAGGACTGCCTTATGTGGCCCCCTAAACAGGACATAATAACGGGAACCGCCTGCAATACGGATGGCTTTCAGCCAACTCTCAGTGTTTGCAGGCTTAGGTTCAAGGTTGGGATTAGGGCTAGGTTTGAAGCTGGGTTTTCCAGTTTACAAGGACGCAAGTCAGGACCAAGTTGAGAGCCAAATTAGGGAATAGTGCTAACTGCAGAGTTAAGGTTTACGGTCAAGGTTAGAGCAATGGATTGGTTTTGTATCAGGATTGTTTGTGGTGTTAGAAAAGGGGACTATTTGACCTTTCCGGAATTATGCGCTGGTCTACCTTTAGTAATTGGGCAGAGCGGGTCTCTCCCTTTGTCCTGTTTAGGGGGCCGTATAAGCCAGTCCCACCAACGGACTATCTGCCGTTGACATGATGGTGCAGAGGCAGGAGAATGTAGAGGGGTGAGAACTGCTGTGGTAAGACCTGAGTTACAGCATGCTCCAGCTGTCTACGCAGTTCGGGTTTGGTCTGCCAAATGCAAATTGCCTCTGAGTACCGGAACGCCGATCCCCACATATTACAGGTGGCCTCGCTCATAACTTCTGAGTATGTTCGATGCCATGGGGTAATTGCTGCCCTTATTCCAGTTCGCGATCAATATTCCTCTATGAACAAGAGTTCTGGAAGTTTACTTGTGACGAAAAGAATGTCTGGTATCCTGAAGGTGCTAGTTTATAGTGGGACCAGGGAGTTTCCGATATTAGAAGCCGCTGAGGTATGTGGTCCGCCGACATGTAAGCGTTGATCCGGGATGCTTCCATCCACAAACCATAGGGCTCTGTGGACATTCAGAACGCAATTAGTCAGTATGCATCTCTTACGGCTAGGAAGTGTGGTGCGCGCCGCACAGTAGCACCTGTGGCATCTTCCGCTTAAGTATTAAAGTCTTCTCAAAATTGCATTCTTTGCTTGTTGCAAAAGATTGCTGTGCATTTGAACGAGACATCCTGCATAAAGGCTTTTGTGAAGGTCGTCCCAGGGACTTCCATCCCTACGTCGAAAGATTCCCAGGGAAGATGTCGTGTAGCCATTTAGAGAAATTCCAGTTTCGCGTAATCAACTGCCTTCCTTTCTTGGCGTCTGGTACGGTCCCCTCGTTCCGTCTGTAGGCGAGCATACCGAACAGTGGTTTGGTTTCCTCTTTACTGGGAATCCTACTTACTTTGCAGGCTATTCCTGCTTGCAAGTAGGACGGTAACATCTCTGGCTTCTGTGGTAATTCTCTGTCGATGGAACCAAAGAGGCGCGTTCTAGGAAGCATTTCAGAAGAAGATGTGATCACGGACACAAGAGGCTTATTGGCCTGTCGTTTAAGTTTCCCACTGAAATTCATCATGGTAGGGACGACTGCAATATTTCTTGGATTCAGCTGCCATGCTACCGCACTTATACTAGAAATGGCAGCACTAGCGTTCACAGATGGGGAGGGGGCTCGTAACTGAACTGACGAACGCTTCTTAATCCGCAGTAGATACGCTAATAGCCGTGATTCCATTGTTTTTGATTCTTGGTGTGATTATCACCCGGCCATTTGACTCGTTGCCATAGGAAGTTCTGATGGCCAGCATCCTCCACGCGCGTCCAACTGCTTTGCCTAGGCGGTCACAGCATATAATATGGTGAGAGAAGGGTGCTACGCTTGTTACTCGACTGTGGGCCAAAGAACGATGACTGAAACTGATCGTGGATCGCGCGGATTTCACCTCTTGCGAGAATACACTGACGCGTTCTCTAGCTGTCCGTAGATTGTTCCGAGATTGCGTCTGGAGACAGAACTCCAGGAACTGGGGCAAGTTAGAATCGTCGTCTCATTCTTGTTGCTTTCCCGGAGTAATTCACTGATCTCGGCTTTTACTGCCTAGAGGATATCTGTGATGAGGGTTTCGAATGAGAATCGGAAACGCCATCATATTTTCTTATGTCAGTGAATCTTAAATTTGGCATCTGCGCCGCATCTTACTTTCAATTACATCCGGCGCTCTGGGCGTGAGCTGACTGCACATTCCCGGTCCTTCCTATAATCTCTCTGTAGAATTGTCCGCTCACGAGAAACTGCACGTTCTTAGTCCGCGAAACTAGCAGAGCGCACAATATTTCAAATTAAAGACGCTTAATCCCGGTCTGCTGCTACTGTATATATAGCGAATTTTAGTCTGGTGCGGCCACTATATTTTCTGGGAATTCTAGACTACTTGAATTCTTCTAATCTGGGCTTCTTTACCCTGTTATCTGTGACGTTATCGGCAGGCCAATGAGAATTCCTGTAAATATTTCCGTCTCAGCAAATTCCACCTATCTTACCGCGCACCTTTTTCTTTAAAATATGCGTGACGTCCAGTCAGGGTATACAACATGTCGCACTGACTTCCCAGTAAAACCTTTTCCGCACTTTTATTGCACTATCGCGGAAGGTCGTCTTGATGAGTAGTCTCCGTTTAATAACACGTCAGATGTTGAAGGTGTTCACGCATTCACTGAGCGCTCATCACTTA